GGATCAGTGGGAGGTGGGAGGAAGGTCCAAGAGGGAGGGGACATGCATAAACCTATAGCTGATTCATGCTGATGTATGGCAGAAACCAACACAATATTGTAAAGCAATTATCCTCCAATTAAAAATAAATAATTTTAAGAAAAGGAAACATATTGATCAAATCTAACTAAAGAACTAATGTCAAGGTATGAGAGCTATATATAGATGTAAACGGTTTTTATTATCTTGAAAAAGTGAAAGTGTTAGTTGCACAGTCATGTCTAGCTCTTGCGATCCCATGGACTGCAGCTCAGCAGGCTCTTCTGTCCTTGGAATTCTGCAGGCAAGTATACTGGAATGGGTAGCCAGTCCCTTCTCCAGGGAATCTTCCCAACCCAGGGATCGAACCTGGGTCTCCTGTATTGCAGGCAGATTCTTTACAGTCTGAGTCACTAGGGAAACCCTTTTATTATCATAGTATGAACAAATTAAAATATTTTATTTGGTTAAAAAAAAAGGATTTAAACCTTGGATGCTAAATATTTTGGATTTTGACAGAGGGACAATAAATAAGGATTTTTTTTAGAGACCTGCTCCCTGCTATTCAAAATATTACCAGTTTGGGTTAAATATTCTGAATTTCAACTCTAACCTAAATGATTTTTGTGAGGATCAGTGATTTGTGCGCCCTGAGCAGCAGCATCTGTTTCTAGATTGGGGTCTAGAAGCTCAGTGGCTGATGGACTCAGGCCAAGGTTGATTGGCATATCAATCAAAGAGATGAAGCTGAAGGCCAGTTCAAAAGGGGTGGCTGGATCTCAGTCTGAGGAAGTTGAGATTTTAAGAACAGAAGTCCCCAGGCACTAGGGGTTGAAGTGTCTATTGAGAGTTCCACCTCAGAAGTCTTGAAATCAGTAGGAAACGGCACGGCCTGGAATTAATTGTCACCAGGCTAATGTGAGCTGTCTGTGGCTCGTTTCCCTCCCTGTAGCCCCTGAACGCTCTGAGACACTTTGCTAAAGGCAGAGCAGTCAGGATTCAAGAACTGTAAGATCTTACCAGATCCTGTCCAGCAGTACTCCTCCGTCTTGGTCAGGGTATGTGGTGTCAACACACAAAACATTCAGCATAGCATCTGTCACATCAGGTGAATTCAGGGAATCCCACTATTCTCAGGACATGTGTGATTGGAGAGACTTTGGAGAACCCCCCAGGCATCTGAGCCCTCCTGCATCTGGGCTTTCTGCAGGGTCATGAAGAGACCAGTGCTGAGTGCTCAGTGCAAAGCGTCCTAAGGAAGCCTCTAGAAGAATCTGTAGTAGTGAGAAATTGATTGCCAATGACTTTTGAATGTAATATAGGGAAACAAATATACTTCAAAATATTTTGATTTATTTTGATACTTGCATTCAGATTCAATGAGCTGAGAGAGGAAAGAGGAACAATTACAGAAAAATGGAAAAGTGAGGAAGTGACATTTTTGCTTTTGGAGACCAGTGATAGAGGTACTCTGCCTTTTGTGGTTCACAAGCTTGCTTTATGTCAGGAACTGTTTTAGTTACTTTAGCTCATCTAATGGCCTTACTTTAGGCCTGTAAAGTTGATATTATCAACACTGCCATTAAACAGAGTTTAAATAATTTGTCCAAGGTCTCAGAGCAGAAAGTCAGGTCTCAGATCCAGGTGTTTTAGCTCTGGAGTCCACATCCTCAATCCCTATGCCCAGCTCACTTCTATTTATGTCTCCATCCTTAATTCCACTTAGTTTCCACAGAATAGAAAATCACTGTATTGCTTTGCTTTGTCAGCATTCCCAGGAATACATAAAAACCATCTTTGTTAACTGGACAAGAACATGACTAACATTGACAAATACAACGGGCTCTCAACTTGCTGGAATCAATTCATGTAAATTAGACATTACCACAATGTCTTTAAAAGGAACTCATTCATTAACTTAACAAGTCCTCATTGAATGCCCACTACATGGCAGGCATTAAGCTAGATATATAGGGGTTTGTGGTGTGCTAAAGACTATTTAATAGTCTCATCCGACTCTGAAAAAAACAGCATGATATTTTAAAGTTGAAATATTCTACATTATCAGGTGTCAGACTTACACTAAAGATAAACTTTAAGATCACACTAAAGGTAAACTTCAATATCAAACTCCAGGCCTCAGGAGACTGCCTATATCTACCTTTAACTAGTATCAGCACAAAACAAATTAAAAGAACTCTATATATAAGTTTAAGTACTGTGTACAAATAATGCAGTCACACTCCTATAAAGGAAAAATTGATCAGTTCCTTTACAAGAGAAGGATGAGAAATGTTAAAATTAAAGTCATGCCTTGCTGATATTTCTACATAGGAAAGATAGGGGGAGCATTTAAAAAGAAAAGAATGATTTGCTATGAATCAGTCAGCCAACAAGTGTAGAAACATGACAAGAGTTTTGGTCAAAGGTTTTCTGCACTGTGCTTTCCGTGACCTCTGAAAGCAGAGTATCAGACAACTGGTTGGAGAAAGAGTGAAAGTTGCAGTTCTATTATATAGTAATTTCATGTCAAAAAGGAATTAGTTGTCCCTTCTCTTTGTCCTCTTGATAGTTGTGGTCAATGAATCGATCTGACACTGAAAATTAATGCCTGCCATATATTTTGTGTGAAATGATGATACTCTGCTCATCAAGTTGTCAAGGCAAGCCGTTACCTTTGCTGAGATATCTATCTGAAGTTTAGCTTTTCCAAAAAATTGAAAAATCTAGATGTTTTATGCATCAACCACAGTTCCTATTCAGTGATGAGGTTCTCTGTACCAAAAGATCCGCATTCTCTTGAGTTTTATTTACAGGTAAAACATAAGTGAGGTAAAACACCGTGAGGACAGGAAAATTCAAACAACTAAAAGAAACTGATGAACAGGCCATGCTATCTCAGGCAGAATCATACAGAATAGTCTCTTTAAGAATTTCAGAGGTGCAAAATTCAAATACTGTTCAAGTGATTAACCAGTGACAGGTATGTACATCAATGGTTAGTTGAATCTTAAAATGGACGCAAGGTGTTTTGGGGGGCGAGGCTAAGCTTATCTGCAAAATGTAGATAACACTATCCTTGAACAATGTTAGAGATCGATGAGTTAATTTATGTTAAATGAAATTGATTGTTCCAGGAAAAAAATTAAAAAACCTCATCTACAGACTCATCTAAGTATTCTGGACATCAATTTTTACCTGATCTTATTGTTAATGAAGCAAATTAGTGCCATTAAGGAAAAGTCAACATTAAGTAGCAAGTCCTTCATCTGAGAGCAGCAAGGTGAATTTTGGCTAGAATTTAGAAAGAATCTAAGCTGATGTCTTTCCTATAGCAGATAAGCATTCTATTTAAGAGTTTGAATATACTGGCTGTAGTTTAGTTGGTTTCTACTTATATTTTGTTTTTGTTGGGAAAACATATCCTCTTAGAAAATGATAAGAATGATTATTATTTAATAGTCTTGATAATCAACATCTATGTAGAATACAAAGCATTAAGTAACAAGTTGAATGTTTGCATCTTCTTTTATTCATATCTGCAAAGGACCTCAATATATATATATAGTTTATGTTTACTTGCTAAGTCATGTCCAACTCTTTTGCAACCCCATGGACTGTAGCCCACCAGGCTCCTCTGTCCATAGGATTCTCCAGGCAAGAATACTGGAGGGGTTGCCCTTTCTTTCTCCAGAAGTATATGTGTGTGTGTGTGTGTATGTGTGTGTGTGTGTATATATATACACACACACATATATATGTATACACTCTTGGATAGCATAGCTTAAAATGTATTAAAATTTTTTAAGACATTGATTATTTTTCAAGAAGCATGTTCTTCTGTGTGCATTATGCATTAAAAAAAAATTTTTATACAAGTTGCTACTTCACTAGTGACAGATTGGCAAGGGATAGAGAGAAGTAATAAATGCATGTCGATTTTCCTACAAAATTCCCTTGTAATGTTAATAAAAGGGGCACAGTTACAATGTCAACTGAAGAACTGTTTCCTTTTCCAGACACTTGTTCTTAATGATGAGTTATACTTGAGGAAGACAAATACTGTTCTTTCCTAAAGAACTCATTTCTCCCCCATGATGGAAATTTGAAGTATATGATTTGTCACAACTCTCAGCAGGAAGTAAAATGACCAAGCATGGCTTAACATGTCAATTATTCAAGTAATGTGGTCTCAATTCTGTGGGTGACAAAATTCTCCATCTCTGGTTTGCCCTTGGCCACCATTTTAGTCAGTGATTACAATGAAAGAGTGAAGTTTGGACTTTCAGAGTGGCTTTATCCTGGCTCAAGTTCAGAGTCACCTTGTTCCATCCTGTAGGAATAAAACTTAGATGTCATCCAGTAAGAAAAAGAACTTCACCATCACTAAGTATCTTAATTACTTTTCTGTATATGGAAGTTAACCTGAGCCTCTAAAGATATTCCTTTCCATGTATGGTGAAAGTTCCCCAACAAAAATGTGCATGTGATATAAATAGATAACTTTCCAAACATTTTTTTTTTTTTGTATCAAGCAAAAAAAGACCTTTATTTTTAAGTTGTGTATTTCCTTAAAAGTAAGGCTTTTGTCAGACATTTATACTCTGGAAAACATACAACAATTAAAAGTGCAAACAAACTGCATGGGACAACTTAAAGGGTATAACCTTAAAATTGTTAAATTTTATAAATTAGGCTTTAATAAATTGTATAAGTATTTATTTAATTTAAAAAAGTCTGCCTTTCAAACACATAGGTACTTCATTGTTACCCCCATTTCCATAAGACTCACATGAAAATAAAACACTTAATACAGAAAAAGAGGAAAAGGTCAAACTGAAAGGAGGAAAACCAAATGAAAGGAAGAAAAGAAAAGCCAATTCACAGTATTTACTTCTGGACTCTCTTTCCGGTTTTTGAAGGGGTTTGTGTAGCCTCTTCAGTCTGTTTATCCGAGCATTCCATATCTTCAGCACTACATTCTACACTTTGCTCAGCTTCTTTCTTTCTCTTCTTTGCCACTGGTTTGCTTGCAAACTTCCATTCTCCACAACAGTGAGGTCCAGCTTGCCATCATCCTTGCTTCCTATAGCTTTCAGTCCTTGCAAAAGAACATCTCGTAGCTTTTGATAAAGAGGTTTTTCAACATAATCCAGTAACTTCACTGTTTCCATGTACTTAGCAATTTCATCTGGCTTGTTTTTCTCAGGAAAACATTTGTCCATCAAACTTGCAATATTTTCTCTGTATCTAATTTTGGAATCTCTAACGTAATTAGGATCTGTCAAATTATCCTCCCACGGCAGATGGCCACTAAGCCACTGGATCATGCAATAACCAAGGATTTCCAAGTCACCACGTCTTGATGGGGCCACACCTTTGTGTGCATCGATGCTGGTGAATTCAATCGTGCCGTCATGACATCTTTTGGGGTCTTCTTTGTATTCTTTATGAGTGCCTTCTGGGCAGTATCGATAAGCAAGGCCATAGTCTACCAAGCACACCTGGTCAGGATTCTTGTAGCTGAGAAGAAGATTTGAGGCCTTGATATCTCCATGTACATACTCATGCTCATGAATATATTACAGAATATCCAGAATTCTTAAGCTTAGCTGCAAGACAGTTTTCCGAGAAAATCTTTTGGCATTTGCTTCATATATTTTCTGAAGGTCACTCCCAAAGCGATCTATTATCATAAACCTGTAACTTTTTCCATTTTTGTCATGTAGACCAGACCCCCAGTACTTAGGGACACCCAGGTAGTTCAGTTTATGGGTACGAATCCATTTCTGAATTTGTTCTGGTTTGGCAGCTCGTTGGTAGAACTTTAATTCAGTAAAAGGAGGTCCATTATCACTGGGTTCCACTTTTACAACACAGGGTGCATCGCTGCCCACGGATTTTGAAGAATTCATATCAGCAAGATATATACAACCAAAGCCACCTTGGCCAACGGGAGACCCCAGTTTCCATTCCTTTTTGGTCATATCAGTGATTATCTCCCCAGCTGCAAAATGTTCTGCAAGACGTCTCTTTGCAGGGCCCTGTCTTCCAGCCTGAGCTGCTTTTACATGAGGCATTTTCACCCAAGCCGCAGAACGTCGCCTTCTCTCCAAACATTTTTAAAGAGCACAGCCCAAACTGTAAACCCTGCTGTAAAGGAAAGTAGCTTTACAGAAATCAGGGATTAGTCTATAAATTTGCATGAGTATGTCTCAAGCCTTAAGGACAGGATACCTGCATTGGCAGCTGAATGTGGTTCTTATGAATGGAAATAAAGTCACCTTCCAGTTCCTGCCACTTAGAAGAAAAGCCACCAGGAAGGAACTTTCCCCAACAATGAACTGTTTGACACAAATCCTCTGCCCTGGTTGTACGGGCTGAGTACATTACTTCTTTTCATTTTATCCTCCTAACCTTTCTCTTAAGTCATACTGTATCTTCAAAGACCAAGTGTCCTTCAACCTCAATTTCCAATGCTCCAGTTTGAAATGTTAACAGTATTCAACTTTTCACAAGTATTATACTCTAGGTCTGTGTAAAAATTAAAAACTTAAAATCTCATCAAAATGTTCCTGAAAAATCTCTTAAATATTTGATGAGAAAGAGTACAACCACTTGATTTTGTATGTATAACCTGCAGACATCTTGAAATGTTCTATTAGTCAGTGTTTCTCTTTGACCCTCAACTAAGTACTTAATATTTTTCTCCAGGATTTAAGCAAGTCATCACCACCCACATTTTCTGGGCCATCTTCATAAAAAATCAGAAAACCTTTAAAATCATTTATACAGTCCTTTCATATGTCTCATCAGTGTACAAACACCTTTTCTAAAGTTTATTACCTTAATTCCTTGCCGTACACAGTCATTTGAATGGTTTCAGAGGAAACTGTCAAAACTGCTTAAAACGCTTTCTTTCATTTCTCAATATTTTTGTTATATGTTCATTATATACCTTATGAAATAGTAACAACTTCTTGTTTAACTTAAATTCTGAACACTGACCCATATCAAAGGGTATATAGTCTTTACAAACTTTGATTTGTGAAGTTATAGGGGCGCTAGCCCAGTTAACAAAGCAATTTGTTTCTTGTGAAATTAAATGAAATCTCTCTGGATCCAGACACCATCTGTTGAACCAGCTAGTTAATACAGTAGAAAGAGCATAGGGGTCAAATTACCTGGATTCAATTAAATCCTGGTTCTGCCTTTTCATATACAAACACCCTGAAGTGAAATTCATTACCTTAGCCCAAGGCTTGTTTTTCACATTTTAAATAATTATGATAGTATTGCAAAGTTCATAGGATTATTGGGAATTTGAATAAGATACTGCTTAAAAAAATCACTTGTATGAAAAATACAAATATTGTTCTTAAATGTTTTTGTGTTTTTTAAAAAGTGTGTAGCTTGGAGAATAAAGTAATATAGTGAGTTTGATGGAGAAGGCAATGGCACCCCACTCCAGTGCTCTTGCCTGGAAAATCCCACGGGCAGAGGAGTCTGGTGGGCTGCCGTCCATGGGGTCGCGAAGAATCGGACACGACTGAGCGACTTCACTTTCACTTTTCACTTTCATGCACTGGAGAAGAAAATGGCAGCCCAGTCCAGTGTTCTTGCCTGGAGAATCCCAGGGATGGTGGATCCTGGTGGGCTGCCGTCTAAGGGGTCGCACAGAGTCGGACATGACTGAAGTGACTTAGCGGCAACAGTAGCAGTAGCAGTGAGTTTGAATGTTTGTGTGTGCACGCGCATGCATGCACTCAGTCACTTCAGTTGTGTCTGACACTGCAATCCCATGGACTGAAACCTACCAGGCTCCGCTATCCATGGAATTCTCCAGGCAAGAACACTGGAGTGGGTAGCCATTCCCTTCTCCATCAATTCAGTCCAGTCGCTCAGTCGTGTCCAACTCTTTGCGACCCCATGAATCGCAGCACACCAGGCCTCCCTATCCATCACCAACTCCCAGAGTTTACTCAAACCCATGCCCATCGAGTCGGTGATGCCATCCAGCCATCTCATCCTCTGTGGTCCGCTTCTCCTCCTGCCCCTAATCCCTCCCAGCATCAGGGTCTTTTCCAATGAGTCAACTCTTCACACGAGGTGGCCAAAGTATTGCAGTTTCAGCTTCAGCATCAGTCCTTCCAATGAACACCCAGGACTGATCTCCTTTAGGATGGACTGGTTGGATCTCCTTGCCATCCAAGGGACTCTCAAGAGTCTTCTCCAACACCACAGTTCAAAAGCATCAATTCTTTGGTGCTCAGCTTTCTTCACAGTCCAACTCTCACATCCATATGTGACCACTGGAAAAACCATAGCCTTGACCAGATGAACCTTTGTTGGCAAAGTAATGTCTTTGCTTTTTAATATGCTATCTAGGTTGGTCATAACTTTCCTTCCAAGGAGTAAGCATCTTTTAATTTCATGGCTGCAGTCACCATCCGCAGTGATTTTAGAGACCAAAAAAATGAAGTCTGACACTGTTTCTACTGTCTCCCCATCTATTTCCCATGAGGTGATGGGACCAGATGCCATGATCTTAGTTTTCTGAATGTTGAGTTTTAAGGCAACTTTTTCACTCTCCTCTTTCACTTTCATCAAGAGGCTTTTTTAGTTCCTCTTCACTTTCTGCCATAAGGGTGGTGTCATCTGCATATCTGAGGTTATTGATATTTCTCCTAGCAATCTTGATTCCAGCTTGTGCTTCTTCCAGCCTAGCATTTCTCATGATGTGCTCTGCATATAAGTTAAATAAGTAGGGTGACGTACTCCTTTTCCTGTTTGGAACCAGTCTGTTTTTCCATGTCCAGTTCTAGCTGTTGCTTCCTGACCTCTATACAGATTTCTCAAGAGGCATGTCAGGTGGTCTGGTATGCCCATCTCTTTCAGAATTTTCCACAGTTTATTGTGATCCACACAGTTGAATGCTTTGGCGTAGTCAATAAAGCAGAAATAGATGTTTTTCTGGAACTCTCTTGCTTTTTCGATGATCCAGCAGATATTGGCAATTTGATCTCTGGTTCCTCTGCCTTTTCTAAAACCAGCTTGAACAACTGGAAGTTCCTGGTTCACGTATTGCTGAAGCCTGGCTTGGAGAATTTTGAACATTACTTTACTAGCATGTGAGATGAGTGCAATTGTGCAGTAGTTTGAGCATTCTTTGGGATTGCCTTTCTTAGGGATTGAAATGAAAACTGACCTTTTCCAGTCCTGTGACCACTGCTGAGTTTTCCAAAGATCTTCCTAACCCAGGGGTTGAGCCTAGGTCTCCTGCATTAAAGGCAGATTCTTTGCCATCTGAGCCAGAGTTTGAATAATTACATCCAGAACAGCTTCTTCCTGTGAGTTGTTCATATGACCTCATCAGAGAGCAATTTAGAAAAAAAACCAAAACACTAAAGAATGGTGATATCTCTTCTTCTATACTTATTTCCTTCTCATACATGCCTAGTTCCCAGGTATTTTGGTAAAGTTGAATGTTTGGGTTTGTTTGTTAGGCTTTCAAGAAGAGACTTGGATAGGGGTGGTATGGTGCTTTTTACATTTTAGAATAATCATCCTTAAAGCGACCGGGACCTCCTAACTGAATTGTATCTCATTGGCCTTTAATCTACCACCGCCTCTCCTATCTTCCTATAGGAGTGGAACATCTATTGTGGTATATAACAGAGATCTGGGCTGGATGGCTATTGGGATTAGACCACAAAGTCTCTAATACCATCCACTTTACTTTCAACATCAGAGTGATACTTCCTAATCATGATGCTCATAACTGGGGGTGCATAATATTTGTGATTTTAATTTTTTTTAATTGAAGGATAGTTGCTTACAATATTGTGTTGGTTTTTGCCTTACAGTAACATGAATCAACCATAGGTATGCACATGCCCTCCTCCTTCTTGGGAGGGATGTTTAAGGGTGTGATTCTTTTTTTAAACACATGTATAATTATCACCTTTGTTGTGAAATGTCCATTCTCTTTTGTGTGGCTGTGCTAACTGAAGGCATATTCACTAAAGTCTCCATTGGCTGACTCATGGCTGCAACCTGAATGTGGCTTCAGTTTTCCTGGAAACTTTGGTTAAGTTGATCATGTCCTTCTTTCACAGGCTCACATTGGCTTAGCTTTTAATTACTAGCATTTTCTCTTAGAGTCAGTCTTCAGTTTTCTTTTCTTATTGCAGACATCAACATGCAATGAGATCATCATCTTCCAATCGTTAACTGGCACTGACACAACGATAGCTTTCAAATATTGGTTTTCGGACATTTGCCTGTATTTGCACTGTGGACACCTACAAATCAAACTAGTGCTAAAATTAAAAAACTTTTTATCTTTCCCAAAAAAAAAAAAAAAAAGGAAAGAAAAGAAATTTACCATTTCTCCTACAATTCTTCTTTCAGTTAGTTATATCACTTTTCACTTAAGCTGGTAAGACAGAAAACATAAAGAAATCTTATATTCTATCCTTCATAACAAGTCAGTCAGCAAGACTTGTCAATTGCCTTTTCAAAATGTTTCTTTAATCCAACCATTCATTTCACCAGAACTGCCCATGTTCTACTGTAGGTCCTTAATTATTAAGTCTAATTATTTAATCTAACAATTATTAAATCTAACACCTAATATCCTCTTCTTCCTTCCATTCCCCTTCCATGAAGCCACCCAGTCAACTGAAAATGAGATTCACCTATGTCAATCTTTTTCTGCTTAAAAACAAAAAAACTAAATAAAAACTCAGTAGATAAAAGCTGAACAAAAGACTACTTTATTAACAACCTATTCTCAACCTATCTGTCCAGATTCATGGCTCTAGGATTTTATACTTACATTTTTTGCATGGCTCCCCCTTTCTTCTTGTTGAAATAAACATTGATGCACTCTTTAGTCCCTTCACTGGGACACTGGGTACCAATTCCTCTTAGCTCTTAAAGGACAACACTCCTGCCATCATCCCCTCTCTCTCTCTCTCCCGTGTCATAAGGTATTCTCTTTCCACTGAATAATTCCCTTCACCATATAAACATGCTAAAATATCTCATTTTAAAAACCCTACCTTTTTCATGTCCCTCAAGAGGTAATGCTCTATGTTTTTATGGACTTTTTAAAAAATATTCATTTTAGGAAAAAAAAAAGTGGGAGAGAAATGAAATAAACTCATGCTTTAATTCTGCCACTTTAATGTCCTAATTACTAAAGATTATAATACCTGATAATTATAACTCAAAATTCTTTGTTTCTTAAGACAGTTTTGACTATTTTCATAGGTTTATTAGATAAGTTTTATGATCATTTTGATTGATCTTACCCAATCCCACTTCCCCTTTAAATACCCTTCAAATTTTGATCAGAGTTGCTGATGTTTTTCAGTCACTAAGTTGTGTCCTACTCTTTGGGACCACATAGGATGTAGCACACTAGGCTCCCCTGTCCTCCACTATTTCCCTACTCAACCACTGTTGAGTCAGTGATTCTATCTAACCATCTCATCCGTGGCTGCTCCCTTCACCTTTTGCCTCAGTCTTTCCCAGCATCAGGTTCTTTTCCAATGAGTCAGTTCCTTGCATCAGGTGGCCAAAGCACTGGAGCTTCAGCATCAGTGCTTCCAATGAATATTCAAGACTGATTTCCTTTAGGATTGACTAGTTTGATCTCCTTGCAGTCCAGGGGACTCTCAAGAGTCTTCTCCAGCATCACTATTTGAAAGCATCAATTATTTGGCTCTCTTCTTTCTTTATGGTCCAAATCTCACACTGGTACATGACTATTGGAAAAACCATACCTTTGACTATATAGAGCTTCGTTGGCAAAGTGATGTCTCTGCTTTTTAATACACTGTCTAGGTTTGTCATAACTTTCCTTCCAAGCTGCAAACATTTTTAAATTTTATGGCTGCAGTCACTATCTGCAGTGATTTTGAAGCCCAAGAAAAGAAAATCTGTCACTGCTTCCACTTTTCTCCCTTCTATTTGCTGTGAAGTGATGGGACTAGATTCCATGATCTAATGCTCTATTTTTAATCACCTTTTCAGCAGAAGTCATTCAAAGAATTGTCTATACTCAAGACTTCTTTTTCCTACACTCCTCCCCTGATTTCATTCTAATCAATTTTTCATCTCCAGAAATCCACTAACTCCTCTCCAGTCAACATCAAGTATGATTTCTATGTTACCATTTGAAGATACTTTAGGTTTCATCTTACTCTATTTATATCCTTCAACAAATGTACACTCTTCATTTTTGAAACATTGTCTTCACTTGAACTCTTGGCTTCCCTTTTCTCTTGAGTCTCTCCTTTCCTATCCTGGATTGTTTCTTGATTCCACTGTACCTACCAGATTCCAAAAGTTGGAACACCCGAAGGCCAAGGGCCTGAGCCTCCAATCTTCTCTGCCTGCACTTACTCCATGGATGATTTCATCCATTCTGACTGTAGTAGTTCCACAGGTAAACCAATGACTTCCAAATTCATACCTATTGCTCTGACCTTATTCTTTAACTTCAGATACACTTGAGTACTTGCCTACATGAGATTTCACTTGCATGTCTGATAGGCCTCTTAGGTGTTCAATATTGAGCTCTGCCCCTATCAGTATCAAGTATGCTCTGCATAAAGTCTTCCCATCTCAGTCACTGTCAACTCCTTCTTCATTGTTCAGGCCTCAAAATCCATGGAGGCATTTTTAGACAAGTTATTCCCACATTTACACCATTGCAGTGGCCTCCTAGTTTGTCTCTCTGCTTCCATCTTTGTCCTCCGTAGAGTTGGTGTATGTGTACAGTCATGTCTGATTCTTTGCAACCCCATGGATTATAGCCTGGCAGGCTCCTCTGTCTGTGGAATTTTCCTGGCAAGAATACTGGAGTGGGCTGCCACTTCCTCCTGCAGGGGATCTTCCTGACCCAGGGATGGAATGATTGTCTCTTGCATCTCCTGCATTAGCAGGCAGATTCTTGGCCACTGCCACCATCTGTGAATCCCATGTCCTTCTTTGGTCTTTTCCTGACACAACATCCAGAGTGATCTTTTAAAGTATCAGTGTAAGTGAGATCATATCAGTCCTTCTCTTCAAAATCTTCAATGCCTCCTTGTTTAACTCAGAGTAAATCCCCAGGCTCTTACTCTGGCCCCAAGACCTTCTGTGGTCTTTCTCTTCTACACATTTCAAGCCATGATCACCTGATACCCTCCTTCCCTCACCCCTCAGCTCTAACCTATAGGCCTCACTTCTGTGTCTGCAATATCCCAAGGATGCTGTGGTCTCAGGGCCTTGGTACATTTTTCCTTTGCCCAGAAAACTTCTTCCTCATATCCATATTGCCCTTTTTTCCATCAATTTAACCTAGAGGTCTTCTACCACAACATCATGTAAGTTACACACTCCTCCTGCTGTATCTCTTTATGATACTTCCTAGTACTTATCACTTAAGGAATAGGAATTTGATATTTAAGCCCAATTTATAGCATTAGGATGTAAGCTCCAGTGAGCAGTAGGACTTACCTGTTTTTATTTGTTGATAGCTTCTTTGGACCTAGGTAAGTACTTTGCTGGGCTTCTCAGGTGGCACTGTGGTAAAGAACCCACAGGAGAATGCAGGGAACTGAAGCAACTTAGCCCAAGCACAAAGTACTTTGTCATGCCCTACTCCAGGGGATCTTCCTGATTCAGGGTTTGATCCTGGGTCTCCTGCTTTGCAGGCAGATTCTTTACCATCTGAGCCACCAGGGAAACCCTAGTTAAGTACTAAGAGCAGGAAATATGTACTGAATAGAAAAATGGTTAACATTGTACATGTATACCTAAGTAAGCAAGGCTTTTTTATTTATTTATTTTTAAGAAAATTCATCACAGTTTCTGGCAAAATGACTCAGAATGACTGAAAGTGGTCTGCCATTTGAGTAATCTGAAGAGAGCAGCCCGGGGCAGTTCACATCACATTTTGTTCAGAAATAAACATCGATAGTAATTTAATTTTTAGCTAAGGCAGTGGCTCTTCCAAAAGGACAATTAAACCTTCTGAAACGAAGAGGGGATTAAAATTAGTGAGACTGGAAAACCAAGAGGACTTTAGCGACCAAATCGAGATCTCTACCTGACCTTGGCCTTGATCAACATGCACCAGTCTGGTGACCCCGCAGAGACCATTAGGACAATTTTCACTTTCTCTCCCACTCTTTTTAATGCTGGTGATGGTCATGCACAGGCTGAACGTAGGGGAGTTTGCAGCTGGGAAATGGTTCTTCTTACAATCAGAGTGGAATGAACCTGATAGATTAACTGGGCCGGTGATTTTCAACCGTTTCCCCCCGAAAGCGATACATTTAATACCTGCCAGGCAGCCTACCCCTGAACTTTGTCCTCACTTCACTCACTTGAGTTTGCTACGCAGGTGATATCGCCCGTGGGTTCTGTGCAGTTTCAAATCGCTACCTAAATGCTCCTCTGCCAGAACCGTTTCTCCCCTCCATTTATTTACTGGCATCATGAAGCTGGGAACTGTTTTCTAGATAAAACCTGTCATTTTTCAGAAAAGAAATCTGAGGCTTACAGAGAATAAGCAACTCACCCAAGACCATGGAGACAGAGAGTAAAGATCTCAAAAGTCAGAGACTAAGAGATCTAGAGTCTGAGCAAGACATCTTCCTGGCATGATATTTGTTTCTCTGTTAGTGAGAAACAAGTGTCAAAGGGACAATGGCCAAGCCATCAGTTGGGTTCAGTTGCTCAGTCATGTCCAACTCTTTGCAACCCCATGGACTGCAGCATGCCAGGCCTCCCTGTCCATCACCGACTTCCGGAGTTTATTCAAACTCATGTCCATTGAGTCGGTGATGCCATCTATAGATTGCATCTAAATATGGCCAAGACATATATAGAAATAAACCCTGACCGACCACCTGCAGGGACCAGTCCAGGAAGCCAGGCTGCTCTCCACTATAACCAATCCAAGAAGTCAGAGTGCTGTCTGTAAGAACCAATCTAGGAGACTAAACACAGCCATGTGACAATGGGTCTGAAATGGCTAAGATGTGATTAATATTAATAACTGACAATTTCCCTAATTTTGCCCTCTCTTCCAACATAGGACCAACCTGAGAACCCCAAACATGAACCCCTGACCAATCACAAAGGGTGCTCACAAAGAATGCCCCACCTGTAGCTAGCCCAACTGCAGGGCCTCCATGTCAACAGCCTCCAATCAGGGCACACCTGATGTCACCCTGCTTCCACGAGAAGGCTTGCCCATATCTCTACCTGCCTTTAAGTTTCTGCCAAACACAAGTGATGGTGGCTGACCCCTTGCTATAGAAAGCTCTGAATAAACAGCCTCTTCTTGGTCTCATGTGGATGAACTCACTGATTTCCACAGCTCTCACGGACGTCCCATCAGACACAGTGGGCGCGACCCAACTCTGCAGACCCCAGGCTTGGACCACGAGTTTCCTGAGAAGACAGAGAGGCCCCTAGTGCCCCGCTGTACACAGCTTGTCAAGTCCACGCTTATGTGGTAAGTCAGCTTTAGCTCCGAAGTTTGCTGTCTTTGTGTTGAATTTCTCAGCTATTTATTCCCAGTTTGGTCCCCAGATTTTGTTGTTGGTTCCTATTTGGTTGGCATCCTTGGTGGAAACAGGCTTTTTCATCCCTGTTGCTCTCTCTTTTGTTACTGTTTTATGTTGTGCTGTGTAAAAGTGGGTTTTGGTTATAAAAGGAGAGTAATTGTATGGTCTAAGACAGGCAGGGATTCTTGAAGTCTGTTGTTCTAGCTGACTTCACACACTGGAAACTTTGTGGTTCTCTAGGCTGGTATGTACGTGGACAAGCTTTGTTGTGGGTCACCAATACATCCTAACCATGTCATTGTAAATGAAGACTAAATTCTCTTGAATTCCTACTGCAGTACTATATTTCACATTACTAAATGGTGTTGTCTTCCATATTTCTATAATGTGCAATGTGTTTATTACTGTCAAAAAACTTTACATTATTACTATTATTCATTGTGTTCTAATACTCTCTGCCAGAACTCCTGAAAGAGAAATTTGGCTCAGTTGGCAAATTTATCCAAGGCCAGTTCTGGGCACTTTTTGGTTCTGTCAAGGTGTCCTGCCTTGTATATGATAGACATTTGTACATGTTTGCTTTTCTTATATGGGAAGAGAAAGAGGGAAGACAGCTATAGAACATCAAGCTGATACCCATATATTCATTTGATCTGACTCCATGACTGAGATTTTATTATCTGTATCTTAAACATGAGTAAAAATAGGATTGGAACGATTCAGTAACTTGACCAAATCACACAGCTAGCTAGTGGTGGATTCAGGTGTTCAAACCTAGTCTGTCTAACTTCAAAGCCTACCTTCTTTCTGCTTTGCCACATTAACCCTTAAAGCATAAACACAATCACAGCTTAAAATCTTCAGTAGAATTGGGTGAAATGATGTTAACACAAAAATATTTAAAGCATCACGTTTTGGGGTGGGTGGGGGCGCAGATTTCTGCTTGAGGTGGAAGAATCCTGGGTTCTTCTGTTGCTAGAGCGCTTGTTGGAGTTCTGGCTCCTAAAGCAGGAATTCAGCACAGCCTGCTTTCCTAGTTAATGAAGTGTGCGCTGCCCTCTACTGGTGCCGAGAAAACACTACCTCCCGCTTTATGTTGGCTCAGCACAGCGAAGGATGTCAAGATTCAAGTCTCCCTGTCGTTTTCAGAGATTTCCAGTGCCTCTGGTTTCTCTCTGTTGCATTTTCTCCTTGAATAAACTTAACGAACTTCAGATTCTTTCCTTACCAATCTCTTCTGATGTCGTTCCTGTTGATACATTTTAGATTTAGCAGAGGAACCTAAAAAAACGAAAGCTACATCTTCCTTAATGGAAATGCAGGAGATTAGAAATTGGCACGTGTGCTAGGATCAAGGATGCAGCAGTCCTTGTTATTTGCTGTCAATATTGCCCTAGATTATAGGTGACTAGTGTGTAAACTTTTGAAGCCATTATTCTTCCCTGTGCTCTATAAAACTGATGATTGATTCTCAGTAAGCCAATTTTAATATTCACCTGTGCATTTAATCATTCATTTATCAAGCCAAAACCTGTTAAAGTCTACTCTGTTCCACCATGCTAGTGGTGAGGTGGTACAAATGAGAAGAAGCTACCTACAGTTCAGCATGAAGATGGGCATGCAAACAAATAATTGCAATGCAGTTTAAATAATGCCGTGATCTTTACAGAGTGCTATGCATTCTCAGAAAGAATGACTAATCTTTGCATGAATGTTACCAGGAAACTTTACGGGTGAGAGTGTGCTTCCATTCCCAGATGGGGAAGAGTTTACATGATGGGTAACAAAGGAGGGGGATTTCAAATTGAGGGAATTCATGTCAAAGATGTGAGGATAGGGAAAAATGGAAAACAAAGCCAGAACACGTGGTTCTATGTGTTGACATGAAGAATATCCAGGGAGTGTGTGAATGGAGTCTGGGATATAAAAAGAACAGAGTTTTGAAGGAGAAAACTTCCACACATGATAAATTTGGGCTATGTATTGTATGTATTATGTACACAGAGAAAGATGGCGGGAAAGTATTGAGTATTTTCAATCAAAGATTCTTATTCAGGTTCTATCTTGTGCAGTATAAAGTGGGAAATGACTAATGTAAAGGAATCAGTGGGAATACCAATTCTACTTTGGAAAATGCATGTTCTCTGGGATATTTTCTGAAATCTTCTGCCTGATGGCCTAATTAGATAACTACTGAATTCTACTCAATACTTTAATATGTAACCATATATCAACTCTTTAATGTTAAATTGAATTTGAGGGTAAGATATTTTGTAACTATTGCTTGAATAAGAGAAATAAAACAAACTTTCTTTTCCAATACCCACCATCCACCTCCATTTCAGAAAACAAAATTCTCCACTCTACTTTGTTCATATAAAGTAAGTTTCTGACTAAATTTTATCTACTTTGTGTGGGTTTGATTTTTTTTAATGAACTTTACATGTGTATTATAAAGAATACTTGATATAAAAATTCAAAAAATCAAAAAGTGCTTAAGAATTATCCTCTTATACCCAACAACTACCCTGAAGAAGGAAATGGTAACCCACTCCAGTATGCTTGCCTGGAGGATCCCATGGACAGAGGAGCCTGGTGGGCTGCAATCCATGGAGTCGCAAAGAATTGGACACGACTGAAGCGACTTAGCATGCACCAAACAACTAAAGATTCCCATTTTAAAGTGAGCAACACTTTGCTGCTAAGGTTTTATAGGCTACATGTTTTATAGGAAGAGTTAAAAATCTCCCATCACAAGCTCATATGGTGTCCAATTCAGCGTTACCAATCACGGGTAAACTGGATGTTCAGATGATGCTTCCATGGCCATTGTAATTTGTTGCAATAAACTAATAGTTAATAGAAGTTTAAAACAATACTATCGTTCATACCTTTGGTATGGCTACAGATTTATTTTCTTCATCATTAATTAATTTTCTATTTATAGGTAACCAATAAAGTTGCTGCTAGGAAGTCTGCCATGTTATCATATCTAGCTAATGAGTTTTACCTAAACTCTCATTAGAAAACTTTTCAATTAGGCAGCACTGCCTTATTGGGTACAGTGTGTGGGAGGAAGTGATATGAAGGAAAACCTCTTATATTAACGAAAGAATTTACTCTAATTTTATTAGTAGAATTCATGGCTCAAAGCCTTGTTTATGAGGCCTGTTCTCACTTCCTGCATCTCTGATTCTGTAGGCATTTTTACATGCAAGATATACTCAAATTCTATGAATATATTGTCATTATTTTGCATTATATGTAGCTCTTCATTTGTAATTTGAGGCAAAGTTTATCATTTTTAAATTTAATTTCTTTTAATATCAATTTTAAAAGTTTTTGTATCATTTTGAAAGATTAATTTCCATTGACAGTTATTACAAAATATTGACCCTTTTCCCTGTGTTGTACAATATATCCTTGAGCCCACCTTACACCCAATACATATTGTTTAAGGACTCCAAACTCACTTTTGGATAATCACCACTTATTCTTTTATATGCTAATAACAAAACAGAAAATACCTAGAAATATGCCAAAGAATGATGATCC